CTAGCTTCTGTCAGCTGTGGCCTATATCTAGGGTTAACCTTTTTGTAACAAAAAAGACTTTGAACAGGCTGTACATGCTCTTATTTCCAGTTTGACTATTATAATGCTTTGTACATTGCTGCCAGTCAGGCTTCACTAGCAGCAATGCAGCTTGTTCATAATGTCACTGCCCATCTTTTAACTGGAGCAAAGTCTTAAAATCTACTACTATCAGTCTATCTTGAACTCAAAGTCACAAACACAGTGTCAGTCTTTGCACACACCTGCTATTACAGAATTACACATACAGTACACCTAAAGCAGTTATTTTATAAAATGATGATTGTACAGTATATGTAGAGCCTTTCTACAGTCCTACTACTACAGTCCAACAAAGACAGATCTGAAGGTTTGTGGGTGTTAAGGACATGAAAACCAAACAACCGCGATGAGAGAAGCAGAGCTAATTGATGTTATTCATTGATCTACTGGAACAAGGACAGATGAAAAAGGACAGTTTAAGTATTAGCTTCAATGTAAGTTACAAAAAGAGAGAGGCTGTTAGTAGAATTTTCAACAGTTCAATAAGTAGAAGGCAACAGCAGAATGATAGAAGTTTTAGTACTTACAAGTGTTTTTACAGCACTCAAACATACATTATTACATTATTCATGCTCCATGTCACACTAGAATTCAGCATGCTTGTTTTTAATTCTACAGCTTTTCCTGACCGGCTATAATTCAAGAGGTTCTGGTGAAATGCACAGAACGTTACACTGAATATTTCTGTGGGCCGGGTGCTTGTCCCTGCTGGAAGATTAGTCATAACAAAAAAGTCTTGATTTTAGTTTGAGTAAAATGATTAAATTACTGCAACTGTCCTCAATGGCTTCAACTATCATCACAGAAGTGAAACCATGGTATTAGCAGCTCAAGCTAGTAGCGTATTGACTCCGTTTTTAACTCAGGAGGAAATGACAAAGAGACTGTTTCCTCACAGCTAATGACAATGTTTGCCATATGTTTTAGGAATCTTTCTCTGATGCTGTCTTGATTTTCAAAATAGCACATCTTATTAGTTTTGTTTTCAAACATTTTCAATTTGCAAACCCAAGCCTGAGTAACTCCTGGCTCATTCTGAGACTCTGGGAAATTCACTAGTTGCCCCTGTGTGGGAGACTCACTGTGCATCGTACCAACGTGTTAACGCAAATGCATTTTTCATTACTGTGTTTTTATTAAAGTGTCATAAAAACAACATTTTACCTGCCAATCTACGCCCTTGCATTCCAGTAAATTATTTGCAAGTGATGACAGAAAAGGAATTACAAAGGATACAAATAGTAAAGACACATGGGAAAGGAATAGCTGGTTTATCTGAGACTTATGAATGCTAGAGGTTATGGGTTCAGTGCCCAGTCACTACAATACAGTCACTGCAGTTACACATGTAAATCACAGGAAAACAGGACTGAAGCTTAAAAATATACTTTGTGTCCCAATTATGGGTGTATAACACAAGTAAAATGCAAGGTATTACACAGCCTGCACAGACACTAGATTGCTTAAAATAGCCAAAATGCCAACAAATTAGTTACCTGCATCTGTGCATTATCTTGACTAAAGTAACAGTAATAGCAGGAAACTACAGTTTGCTAAGAAAGAAAAAAGACAAGAGAGAGAAAAGACAAATATTTCCTTCTCAGTTGCTGTTGCTGTGCACATGGTCGAGGGTCATGGCCATGTCCAGTCAGTGTGTGCGCTGTAGGTTCATTTTTAATGTTTAGAAATCCAGTTACTCTTTGGTTAAGCTATGCCTTACACATCCCATAATACAGCCTGAACCTAGCCTTTAAAAATATTCAGTGACAGATGGTCTAATACAAAGTCTTGACTTCAACCTTCTGGCCCTCTCATTTCATCACTTGTCTCGTTTTTCTCTTTCTTCTCTGCCTGTCGTCACTGCTGCTGCTCTAAATTCAAGAGAAAATGAGAGGTCAGCCCATTTCCCTCCAGGACTTTAAAACACTCACCTCCACTCCCTCAGCCTGGCTAACTGCCTGCTCTGTCTCCTGATTTTTATGATCCTTCCTGCCTATCTGTCGCTCATCTCCCTGCGTTCTTTTGTCCGCCTGCATACATCATCATCAGGCTGATGAACCCACTGTTTGCCAGCATGACCCTTGTACCATATGATGCTAAAACTCTACAAAACTGAGACACGCATCCTTTGAAATTCTACTAAAAAGAAAGACACACTGATTGTGGCCATAAATGGATCATTGTACTCAGTGAAAGGGATCTGCTCTTAGAGTCCAAATAAATCCAGACAGCTTGTCAAATTGTGCAGAAGAGCGATAAATCCAGCCAACCGGTAATACAGACCAGAGCCCAGCAGCTACATTATTAGAGGGATGCCAATGGTATATGCAGCACAGTAAGTATCCTTAATGAGAAACCCGACCTGGGTTGCTGTAAAGTCATATTTGAGCATGAAAAGTCTGAAACTAATGAAGTGTATCCACTGCATGTGAACAGACTTGACAACCATAAAACTGAAAAGCAGTGTGGCAAGAGATAGCAAGACCAGTAGCTGTGATTTTTCCAGCAAAGACCCAGTGATTTCACATGACATCACAGTGATGTGATCCGTGGTGGCAGAGCCACATGTGGACGAGCTGAGGAACACCACCGTTCATTTGTTACATGCACACCTCAGAGCTCGAAGCTCTACTGTACGTGTATGTGCGATGCAAGATGTCAGTTTTATCTTCTCCCATAACAGTGTCCTGTCAAAATTAATTTGTTACACTACACATCCTGCTATTGACTTACAGGCCTTTTTTCATCATGCTTATTTCCATTTAAATGAGTTGTGTGTATTTAAAGAAAGAAGTTATTCCAGAAGACATACTGGACATTATGCAGTTTCTTTCTTTTTTCACTTAAAATGGAAAGTGATTGTTGCAGAGACGCAAATAGTTCTTCTAAGTTTGATTATTTTAAATGGGTTTTTATTCCTTTAAAGTAATCCTTTTATGGGTTTGATCTGAAATGCAAATATTTGGATTTGGCAAAGCCTTCACTGCCAAAGCAATGAGAGGGTTGAAATGCTGACCCCCAGTGGTAAAACCCTTCACTACCAAAGAAAGCACAGGAACTTCGAAGGTACAGATAAACTGGGTCTAGTTTTTGTCCACATCCTGTCACGGTTTTTTTAAAGGACTCTGCTTCTCAGTGATGCTGTGAACCCCGTATAATTGGTGATTTTACTCATGTGTAGATAATTTTCCTGAAGGTTAAATTGAAGCACTGCTTAATCTTTCAAGCTCACTTAACACATCTATGAAATATTCAGCTTTGAAGCTGGTTTCACCCGATTTATTACTAGATGTTAGAAATTATATCCACGTTCTTTCTTAATAACCCCAAGCAGCATTTTGCAGCTTTTGCTCCTCGTCTCAGTGAGAACCTTCCTGTTCCAATTTCGCTCCGAAAGGAACATGAAGGTAAATCAATATTAAAGACGTAGTACCTGTCCTGTGTGCCGGCCTGCCTCACTACCCCAAGGGGTTCAAATCAATGAGGCAAATGGAGCTTTCAGCATTCTCATGGTGTTGAACTCAATGGGCCTTGACAGCTCTCAAGATTAATGAGGTGAGCTGCTGCTGAACAAGCAACTCGATGTGTAGCCATGTTCACTGTGGCTGTTGAACACAGCATTGATCACAGGCTATTCAGCAGTTAGTGTGTGGCTCTGCATCTTGAGATCACGTACACCTAACGTCAAAGAAATAAAGTCACAATACTTGTATTTTTATTGAAATCGACCCCTGAGGCTAGATAAAAGGCCACAGCTTGTTTGTGCCTCGTCTAGCTCCTCAGTCTGACACAGCCAGTTAAAAGACAACAGCCCTGTCCAAAAACACATCACACAAGTGAAAACTCCAAATGTTTTGCTGCTGTTTACATGGCCCTGTACATACTGGCAGCTTTTCGGAATGAACACAACTCAGATCAGTTGCACACCTTCAACCATACTTGATGTCTATTTCAGGAAAAAAAAAAAAAAACATAAAAGCATCTTCTGTGACCACTGAACACAAAAGTTCTGTTTTGCTCACATATAATCAGTAATGTAAAAAAAAATAAAATAAAAACACACACACACACACACAACAAATCAGCAGGTTTATTTGTACCAGTCATGTTGCTTAATCTGAGAAAGCCATCAATCACTTGTCAAACTGTATTCTGGACCTCAAACCATAAAGTTAATCAGGCAACTGGAAGCCTGGCTGGTCCATGAACATGGTCCAGCATTTAGGAAAACACTTTTTTTTACCCCCTTACAGAGAAACAGATGGGATGACAATACCCTTCTCAAGTCTGTGCAGCTCCAACTTAACAGGTAGTGCCAGGTTAGTTTAGCTTGGCATAGAGTTGGAAAACAGGGGAAGCTGCTAGCCTGGCTCTGTCCATTGCTAGAACTAAAGGACATGCATAAAACCAGGACTTTAATGGATTAAAATAAGATATCACATACTAACAGCACGTTTTAGAAGTGCTGGTTAGCTGATTTTGTAACTTTCCAGGCAGAGCCAGACAAACTGTTTCCAGTTTATGCTAGGCCAACTGGCTGCAGCTTCATATTTAGCTTACAGATGCTGCATGCGGGTGGTACAAACCTTCTCCTCTGAGACAAACATGTTTTGGCCCTTGTGTGGTTGCATCTTCACTTGTGAGGACATCTACATGAGCTCCAGTAAAGCAGAGGTCCTTATGCTTTTTGTAATGCAGGACCAAACTCTATTTCTGGTCCACACCACGTTCCAAGTCTCTTACATAGGGTCCCACACGAAAACAACAAACCAGAAACAAAAATACAGGGGAATTTCGTCTTTTGTCCAGGTCTGGCACACACTGAGGTAACATAGTAATAAATTATTCAGTTGTTTAAAAAACACTTTGCAAGGATCATATCAATAATACAAAATGGTATCAAACATATATGATGCAACACATTCAGATTTTTTTATAACTTTTTCCTTTCCCATGATCGAGAGTCTTATGCGTCTTTGCTCTAATCAATAATTCAATACTTCTTCAATGCTTCTCTGACAACTCTTTGCAAAGTCCCAGTAGATGCAGATTAATATTGTATTTCATCTTTTGCTGAGGCTGATTTCCCACTTTCATGCTGAGGTGAATTTGTATGGCATTCAATAAATGTTCCTACATAACCTTCGTAATTTGAAGCAAAATAACATGAAATGTTTCCATACACAAGCACACTGAGCTATAACGCTTAATTTCCTATTTGCTTGTTTTATTTGATCTTACAATCAAATTGTTTTGACCACGCCTTTTATTTCACACATGCCAATAGGAAAGTCAAAAATTGTATGGAAAGTGCAAAAAAGTGTTCCTTCAAGAGACAGTATTCATACAGACTAAAAGGTTGTCCACTGAAACTTTAGTGCGTTAACAGTACAAGCCATTTCATAGGTTATTAAACTGTACATCCCTACCCACCTCAAGACTATAAACATGAATATATAGAATGTTTTGTTGCTTTGACTGTAGAGTTTCCTACAGCTGAATGTAGTCTGTCACTAGGTGAACATGGCTTTAAGCCCTCGGGAGCATCACACCGCCTTTCTGACAGGCTTCCTAACTCCCCAAAGCAGTATTGTCCTTTACTGAGTGTGATTCTTCTTAGAACACAGCCCTGAATCCAGTGAATGCTGAAAAGCCCCTGTGAAATAAAGTGACATCACATTATTTTGGTTAGTGGCCAGTGCAAATCAGCATCTCCAGCCCATTTCGGATCAAATATCTATTATACTTCTTTAAGAAACTCCTACAGAGTCTTTGTAAAACAGCATTGAATTTGATCACATTGTGCCCAATAACTAGATTGTTTTTAATACAGTATCACAATATAATTAATTGTCTCCATTTTTTTAAGATACAAAAACATGTGGAAAGTAACTGAAGAATTTGTTGAGACAACAAAAATGTTCATGTAGTACTGGTCAAGGACTGTACTCATACCATTTCCAACGACTGCAGAGGCAACTAAACCACTGTTTTCACATATGTGATAAAAAGTGGCTTTTATATGCCGTCTGTATATATGAGGACAAAATAATCCTTTATAAGAGAGTGTGTGTAAACACGGTCCCTGACAGCGTCTGTATAAACGGTTACATTTACATGTAACTACATACACCGACCAACCTCTGTATAGCTACAATATTTAAACACTTATTCAAAGGGCTGATATGGCCAGAGCATTCACCAATATGACACCATTTCTCAGCATCAAGTCATGTTTCTTTCGCTTGCCATGGCACGTCCGTCTACCCTTTTGAGATAACGTTTCAAAACCACAAGGTACGCGCTGTACTCACAGGTCACTCGTCAACAACACCACACAACACTTACTTTCACTATATAAAATAAGACTGTTACCTTTCTCATAATCATCCACCGTGCCCTTACCACATCCAAAAGAGAACACATAACCTATCTAGAGATCACATAGGTGCTTTTCTTCTAGACACTGTAGGAGTGAGGATAGAAGTGGTGACCAGCACATTGTTGGACTCGGTCACTGATCTGCCATTTTGAGAGGCCTCTGTTTTCTTTCACTTTCTCAAGAAGACAGAAGTTCTAAGGTGATCCTGCTATCTGTCGATTTCCCCAGTGTGTTGTCTTGTGCCACATTTGATAGTGAATTCCAAAATTACACTTGCTAGAGAAACAGCCTGGTGACACTGTAGTTCCGTGTCGAATGTCAACAGGAGGGAACAAAAACCTTTGAAAAGGGACCATAAAGAGGGCAGAGCACTCATTCCAAGGCCTTGTGGCTGAGGGGACATCAGTCCATCGTTTGATTCACTTCTTTTCTGTCCATCCTCTGCCCTTTCGTGCTCCAGTAGTTAACAACTATGGGGGAGTTCCCTGACATCCAAAAAGGTGTTTGGTATGTGTGGATTTACGTATGTTAAGAATGATGAAGAGGATAAGGGAGGTCACAATATGGCGCAGTGGAACCTGTGGGAACCTGTGGAACGTTCTGCTCTCCATTTCATCTTCTTTTTCTTCTTCTGGTTTCGCTCTGGGACCTGTTGTCTGTAGGTGTTTAATAGAACAGAAAGAGATTGACAAAACTATTTAAACTCAACATCCATTTACTATTGTTTAATCAATACAAAAGCCAATGTGTAAACACAACACAGGTATTATATGGGGATGGCAAACTATTTCTTGGCTGAGACCAGTGAATTCCTGTAGTATTGCCATCACTGTGAAGCTGCCAGGTAAGAGGAGCTAAACACACATAAGAATGGATGTTCTCATCTAAGTCTCAGCAAGAAAGCAAAAAGGCACGTTTTACAACATTTACAATTTCTTTGGGTGACGGGGAACACTGTGCATTTACCCACTTTTTATGAACATTATTCTTATTTTTAGCTGTTTTCATTTGTTTGTTTTATTCATTTATGATTCCAGCAGTGCCTATTTTTAAATCACAGTTACAGTGGCAGCCGTGTACAACTGAGTCATACTAAACTTGGAACCAGTGTGTATTTTACACTAACATCTCTTTAGATGACTGCTCAGGACAAAGTAAGGCAAACTGGTATACTGGTTTGACTGGCTTTCTATAGTCTGACCACAAGAGGGCAGTGTTGATTCAAACTATCTCCTCACTTGTGAAAGAAAAAAGGCTTTCCTCATGAGTCAGTTACAGACATGACATAAGCAGGATAAGAACTCAACAACTGTGGCCGATTTTGTTTTTAAAAATACTGACGTGAACACAGCTCTGCCCTACTACTGTGTCTTTAGGTATCCAAGTACACATCCTGCTGTAAAACACAACTGACTACTAGAAAAGGCCTTAAAACAGGACATGGCCACAAAAAAAGAAACGGACATAAACCAAATTCTTCTGAAATGTGTCAAGACAGGAAACAGCTCTGGAATTTTTTTTTCTTTCCATATCCACTCTTCCCAAAAACACTTTCACAGCCTCCAGTAGCAGCATTGTCCTCCCTCAGTGCCCCAACCCTCTAAAGAAGTGGAATGCATAATGTACTGGGAAAAAAAGGGAAAACTGTGCCTTGAAATGACAATTTTATTGGCCATAATAACTGTGTTTTAGCTTAAAAACAATAGAATAATAAGGGCTAATGCTGTACAAAAAGTTAAATAGCTGTTACTACAAATGAATCTGTCTTACATTGTGATTCAGGTAAAGATCCCTAAGTGAAAGACAGAAGTGAACCGGGGGTTACCTTATAACACGCACTAGCTCATGAAAAGCTTTGTCCACATTCATTGGTGGATCCTTGGCACTGGTTTCAATGTAAGTTATCTGGAAAAACAAACAAACAAACAATATCCCATCTTTCTGGTTTCATTTGACAATCATGTTTTCATGCTTCTGACTGTTTCAATGGTCAGGCTGTGTTCAATGAGTATGTATCATCAAGGTGGTAGGATTTTGGTTAGCTAAGATTTGTCATAAATAGTCTAGCGCTAGAAACCAATTCCAACTTTAAATATTTACTTCATTTCGAGTTTTACGCTGATCCCGTCAACAAGTCAACAACAATTTAAAGATAAAGTGCTTAAAGAACAGTTCAATACTTACATTATGTTTTGCAGCCATCTCTTGGCCCTGGTCTGTTATGACCTTTCTCAGGTGGACCAAGTCCACTTTGTTTGCAACCAGCACCATGGGGAAGGCCTCCCTGAGAGGAAAAAGGACACGCACAGTGTTATGTATGTCAAGGCACAGAATGCAGTGTCACACCACATCCAGTGGGAGAGGCACCATGTCTATCCAGCAGCCCGCTGCAGTCTTGGTAGCATGATTCAGTGGGTTTTGATTTTCCTCATACTCCTCTTTTATTGTTTTTTTTATAGGGGTGCACCGAACTTTCGGCCACCGAAAAGGCCATTTTTATTTCGGGCTGGAATAAAAAAAAATAAATAAATAAAAATAAAAAAAACACACTGAAAATGCCCCGCCCCGCCCATCCTCACGCAGCACAGGTTAGGTTTCACTCACGCTGCAGCTGTTACGGTATATCATGCGTCTCCCCATCAACGACAAAGCACGTCAGCGGTATGGAAGCATTTTGAAGCTTCAGGTGAGGACACCAAAGTTGCAATATGCAAAATTTGTTCTGCGAAAATATCAAGAGGAGGTACGGTGCCAAAGAACTTTGACAACATGTTTGATACACCACCTGAAAACACGACATCCAATTGAGTATGAGGAGTACCGGAAAACAACACTGGTTAAAAGTACCCCCAACTACATCACAAACACCCTCGGTCGACTAAGACTAAGATATTTGCAGATGATAGTCTTCTGAGATGTTTGACGAAATTCTACAGGAAAGCGCAGCCGCACAACAACTGAACACTTATCTAGGTGAACGACCCATTGCCAGAAGCGACAATCCACTCGACTACTGGCGCTCCAGCAAAGAGCGCTTTCCATTACTTGCACGGGTTGCACGCAGGTATTTATCTGCCCCAAGCACAAACACAGACAGTGAGAGACTCTTCAGTGCAGCAGCTACCTAGGCTATGTTGTTTACAGTTTGTTTGGAAGTTCTATTGCTGTTTCTGCACTGTTTTGCACAGCAATTTAAAATGTTTGAGTGTTACATAAAACTTGAATAATATTATTTGGTATTGTTTATTGTTAAAAATATTTTAGATTTTAGTTTTTCATTTCAGATTCATCAAATTCAAGTAATTTTTATATATACACACACAATTATAGAGTAGGCATGTTTTAAAAATTTGAAGTTTTTAAAAGAAGCCATTTTTGGTTTCGTTTCGGTTTTTGGCCAAGTGCATCCTAAATTTTCGGTTTCGGCCCAGAATTTTCATTTCGGTGCATCACTAGTTCATGCAAACAAAGTTTTATTCCCATTATGACATTAAAGCTAATGATGAACTCTGGTGAGTCTCTTTACCGCCATGTGTAGGCAGTTGGTATGTGTTCCATGTGCTGTCTCCAACTAGAGCGATTACCAATTACACACAACAGATCAACTGGTTAAATTATGTTTACAGCTACAGAGCCAGCTGATGTTTCTACTGCAGATCAACAGGCATGGTGGAGACAGAGGCGCTGAAAATAGCTCAATCATTTACATCTATTCCAATTTCACCCTGCAAATAACTCCCTCAGAACTTTCTGTTCCTGCCATTCTTCCTGGTGTTTCCATCCAAAACACCGAGTCTAATGAGCCTGGCCAAAGTGACGCCCTGCATTTTCACCCTGGGCAGTATATTTGTTGTATTCATATTTGAAAATCCCCAAACATGCTTCCTCTGAGAAAAACTCTCATGATTCCCAGAATGTCAATGCACCATGATTCTCGTGAAGTCCTGTGATTAAAGGAGGCGAACACAGTTAATGTGACTGGCCACAATTCACTGTCTTTCTGATTCCACCCACGTATCCAAGTACATCACAGATGCCCCCAGCACACTTGGCTGTGGTCTGTTCCATTAAAATAGAGCCCAAATGTCATTGAGACCGCCAACATTTTCTGAAATACCAATACACTAAAAGCAAGCAATATGTAACACTAAATAATATATCAAAGCAGATTTCATGTACATCTGTTGTTGACACACTAGACAGCCAGACAGTATCGTGTTCTATGAATGTGTGAAGCACCAAATTTCTGCAACACCTGAACCTTGTGGAAAAGCAAGCTAAACAGGAGCTCCACCATAAATGGACAGACAGCAGCTTGCTCAGTTCTACTGTCTATTTTTGTTTCATCACAAGCTCAGTTTTATTTTCTGTTGTCAGTCACTGCCAGTGAGCTGATGCTTTTCCTCTCCCTTAAATGACATTCTACATAAGACATCTGAGTTTTGGAAACACCTCTGATGTTGGCCTGGCCACTGACTGACAGATCTTTGACCATTCTTATTCTGAACGGTATGATAATACTAGCTTTAACACAAATCAATCCCTGTTGCTGAGTTAGCAGAACTCCCCCAGACCTGACAGAAGCAGACAAAGTTAGGCTTTAAATGAGGACAAATAAGGTGACTGGGCTGTATTTTAGGAGTTTCAGCTAATGGTGCTATGATTAATGTAACATTTTTTGCCATCAGTGTTAGCAACTGTAGACAAGACCCCAGTTAGGTTTTTTTTTTAAACCATAATGTAAATATCTATTAGAGCTTCAGTACTTCCTCTTTTCATAACCCTGGTGACTTTGGCTTAAGAGTACACACAGTTTTTCAATTCATTTGAATACTCTTTTCACTTTCAAATGATTTGGCTGAAGTGGACTTGCACTACTGACTGATTTGATTTGATTTATTCTTTCAAACATGCAGAACAAACAACATCAACACACACATAATTATACAAATCCAACCAATGCTGATTCAGAATCAGTTTGCTTATACCTAGTACATGTTTGAATGGAGTAGGAAGACTTATCCAGCCCTACCCCAGAACATCATCTTATACAAAAAATTTCATGCATCATTGGCTGCAAGCAGTATCTCTACATAGGTGATTCTCTTCTTCACCA